CCTTAACAATTTACGAAAAACAAACACGACAGACATGAACCAACGACAACCACTGTACTACAGGCTCCTGACTTGAGACAGGCACATAAAGAATGAGGCAGTTTTAGGACTGAATATTAGCGTTTGCTTGTATAAAAGAAACTAAACAGATGTTAGATTTTAAGATTTATCTGTATTCTATGATTGTGGAATAATGTTCTGGATATTCTATGAATTTATCCTCTGTAGTTCATACATGCAGGAACATTGAAAGGATAATCACATGCGTCTTGTTGTGGATTGAATGCGAGCCCTGGAGAACAAGGTTCATGAAACGTAAGTCCGAAGGAACATTGGTAGTACGACCCACAGTCACTAGCATCTCTGTATAATCCATCGGCTTTACTACGACAAAAGTTCGCTACAAAAAACAAGTTATTTCAGAAGAAAATATAATAATGGTTGTTTTACAGTATAGACAAACCGGTTAACACATCAGTTTTCCATAAAACGTCATGTTCTGATTCAGTTTTACTTTGTCTCGCCTTCGACATGTTCGCTTTTTATATGCTCCGTTGGCCGCCTCAGTAATTGTTAAAGTTTGTTGTCAGGTTTACAAAGGCAAGTTATATTTTTGTGTTAACTGTTTATAAAAATCAAACACTGATCTTCCGTGTTTTTCCCCAACTTTTTTTTTTGTTTTTTTTTATCCTGTTTTGTTTTTAAGCTTGGCGTTTTGTTTTGTTTTATTTTTGGCGGGCGGTTCATTTAAAACATTTGGCAATAGTAGCAATTCTGTGCTTGTTTTTGTTATTTGTCTTCACATGTTGCCTATACTTGGGACAAGTTGGAGACTGACATGTCATATGGAAAATTGTCTGTTGTTGACGATTGTATTATTTTCTGGTTGTATTGTAGTTACAACGTAATGGTTGCTGTTTTTCTACTTGTTGACTTTTAAATTGTTTTACTCATGCATTCTAGTAATATAAATTAATATATAAATTTCTTTTCAAGTATTTTATTTCAGATCTTTGAATTATTTTGTAAACATTGTACATTTAAATAATGCGTTGAAAATAAAGTTCACGAATAAACATGTGGAAACTAATTCTAATTTATGAATTATTTTGTTTATTTTTCTTCATGACATTTACTGTAATTAAATAAATCTGAAAGATTTTAAAAAATCAGTATTTTGAGACATAGTATTACGTTTTAAATTATGTTCTATAAATTACGGAGAATATAATATTCCAGAAGACAACGCTTAAGATGCATAGTTATGTGTTAAAGAGTATAACAAGAGTGCACACGCTGAAATGTCTCGCCTTCTTTACTAACCATTGATTTTATGTTGATAGTCCTAAATATAAAACTTTACTACAAGTAACACATAAACTTAACATGATCCAAGAAAATGAGGTCAAGGTCAGATAAACCAAACGAGAAATACATGTACACCTTACAATCATTCAATAAACCAAACATAGTTGACCTATTGCTTATAGTTTCTAAGAAACAGTCTTAACCAAGAAAACTTAACATTGACCAATGAACCATGAAAATGAGGTCAAGGTCAGATGATACCTGCCCGACAGACATATACACCTTACAATCAATTTATGAATTAAATATAGTTGACATATTGGTTATAGTATCTAAGAAACAAACTTAACCATGAACACTTAACATTGACCAATGAACCATGAAAATGAGGTCAAGGTCAGATGATACCTGCCAGACAGACATATACACCTTACAATCCTTCCATACAACAAATATAGTTGATCTTTTGCTTATAGTTGAAGAAAAACAGACCAAAACACAAAAACTTAACACTGAGAAATGAACCGTGAAATGAGGTCAAGGTCAAATAAAACCTGCGAGACTGACATGTACATCATAAAATATTTCCATACACCAAATATAGTTGACCTATTGCATATAGTATTAGAAAAAAAAGACCAAAACTTAAAAACTTAACTTTGACCACTGAACCATGAAAATGAGGTCAAGGTGAAAATGTCGACAATGGACATATGACAGACGGAAACTTCGTAACATAAGGCATCTATATACAAAGTATGAAGCATCCAGATCTTCTAGCTTCTAAAATATAAAGCTTTTAAGAAGTTAGCCGCCGCCGCCGCCTAAGATCACTATGCCTATGTCGAGCTTTCTGCGACAAAAGTCGCAGGCTCGACAAAAGTCACAAATGACTGTATGACAGGATATCTATTCAGAACATACAGAAAAGTAACATTATTGTCATACTTACTATTAAAAAACGGAGAGCTAGTAACAGGTGCATTTGTCGGTGACCGAGTAGGTGCATTGGTTTGTACTGGTGCGTTCGTGAAAGCAGGTGCGTTGGTGAACACTAATAGTTTAGTTGGAGCATTAGTTTGAATAGGAGATGGTGTAGATGTTGGTGCGGGTACATAAGTTGGACCATTAGTTGGTGCAGGTGTGAAAACTAAAAGCTTGGTAGGCATATTTGTAACGACAGGACTTGATGTAGGTGAATTTGTCTTCAAAGGACCATTCGTAAACACTAATAATTTTGTTGGCGAATTGGTATTAGCCGGAGTTTGAGACGGCGTGTTTGTATTTGGAGCATTTGAGAACACTAAAAGTTTAGTGGGTCCATTCGTGTTTAAAGGGCTGGGCGTAGTACCGGTCTGTGACGGTTGATTTGGTTGCAAGGGGTTTGTACAGTTAGCGTTTCTTGGCCAATCACAATATCTTGTCTTTGAGTTGTACTGTAGACCACTTGCACAATGGGCTAAAAATGGTGAACCACTAGCACAAATATAATAAGAGTCGCACGATGATGGGTTTGGATAAAATCCATCCCGCACTCCTTTACAACTGAATGTTGTAGGTACTCCAAGTTGTCGAGTAGAATGCACTGTAAAAGTAAATACTAAATGTTATATTACAGAAAATAAAAAGTTTGTTATTTTATTAAAAAAAAAAGACTGAATTCATATTTCTTATTTTACATTATATGTTATGCATAGATATTAAGCTCTGTCAGATTCTGAGTAAGCATGAATTAAAAAACACTAAATATAAGAAAAAAATCTGGAAAATGTTAGTATTTTTCCGTATGATGAATTTTAATTTAATAATTTGATATAAAAGACACAAAAAAATTTGAAAAAAATAGGTGTCCATAGTACGCCATGCCCCGCTCGCACTATCCAATCCATATTTAGTGAAACGTGGAATCGGGGTAAAATCGTAATTTTCATATAATTTCTTAAAAAATTCCCCTCGTATTAAAAATGTGTACTAATTTTGATGGTGATTTGACCAAAGCTTCATGGTAATCTAACTTAGCCAAACACTTTAACCTGCGAATGGTCTCATGAAATTCCAATTATCACATTTCTAAGTGAACCGTTTAATTGAAATAAAAACCAATATTTCATTATTTGGCTTTATATAAAATGCACATCATAAAGAACATTTGTACTAAGTTTTAAGTTTACGTGAGCGCATCTTCAATGTAAACTATAGCTACCGGCATCATAAACTTTCACCTGACACATGATGGCTAGACGGACGGAAACATCGATCAGAATACACAATGGCATTCTATTATCGAAGGCGGAGCATACGAATGGTCACTTTAAATCAGGCCAACATGTAAATAACTATTACATTACTGTAAGATATTCCATACGAAATAAACTCATATTTGAAAAATTCGATAGACATAAAATGTTACAACAGAGATGTTTGAACAAAAAAACCAAAGCCTCGTTTCTCAAAGATTTTTTTATATAGAAAAGAGTTAAGGGAAGTCAGGGTTATCATTAAAACCATTGTTATTGAAAGTCCAATAACATCAATTTCTAAATTTCTGACAGCTCTTAGAAAATGAAATGTAACCCATCAATGCAGACCATATAAGGAATACGAAAATATTCTTACACAAATCATACCTACGGAAGCGTATTAGCGACACACGTTTTTTTTATTTTTTATATTTCTTCCTATGTTTGCGTTTTAACGCAAACCTTTGCGAAATAACGCAAACCTTTGCGTTATAACGCAAACCTTTGCGAAATAACGCAAACATTTGCGTTATAACGCAAACATGTTGATTTTAATTATTAATTAAGTTTTGAATATCTAATAATAAAAAACTATATATAATATTGAATTTACATTTTATGTTTATTATATAATTTGAAAGCAGTGTTTTGTAAATGTCGGCATTTGCATGTCCGTCTGTCATCAAATTTCGGTTGTGATTTAGTTAAGAGAAGAACCATGAACACAAGGCCAAATCATTATAATAAATATGCATAGAAATAAAGGTATAATTGAAGTGCAATTATACACAAATTAATAAATGGTTTATGCATCAGAAGATTATATAAATTTAACAAGTAAATAGATATGGTATAGGCAAATTTTAATTGAAAGGCCAAGATTTTGAAAATTTTGAATAACGGAAAGTGGTAAACTAGATATATAAGAGCAAAAATAATGTCATACAATTGTGAAACTATAAGACAAAATGAAGTTTCTGCTTTAAAATCTATTATTCAGAAAAAAACATTCTTTTTAAATTTTGATGTAAGAAATCGTTTGTTGAAATCTCAGATTATGATAAAGATTCTTTAAAAAAGTCATTGAATTTTAATTTCAATCTAGTGAGGTAGCTATTTAAGATGCTTGGGTAGCAATTTGAATGTAGAGAACATAATTATAATAAAATAACATCTTCATCTTATACATTTATGGAAAAAGGGTAGCTTGTTTGAATCTAACCAATCTTACACAATGCTCAAACGAGCGCTTACTTTGGAAGTATACTTAAATTTGGCTACACTAGCGGGGTTGTTTTTTTATTTTCTTCGGTATAACTTCAATTTACTCAATTTTCTTTGTAATATATATATATATATATATACATGTATTATCCTGCTCATCATTATCCCATGATGTGTGCTAAACACTCAAGCATTTTACATTGCAATGAGTACAAAGGGTGAAAAATTTCAATATATGCAGCCTCCTCCATTTATAACAGCTGCTTCCTTTGAAACTTAAATAAGAAATAAAATAAAACAAATGTTTGCGTCATTTCGCAAAGGTTTGCGTTATTTCGCAAAGGTTTGCGTTATAACGCAAAAGGTTTGCGTTATTTCGCAAAGGTTTTCGTTATAACGCAAAAGGTTTGCGTTACAACGCAAATGTTTGCGATATAACGCAAAGGTTTGCGTTATAACGCAAAGGTTTGCGTTATTTCGCAAAGGTTTGCGTTATAACGCAAAAGGTTTGAGTTATAACGCAAATGTTTGCGATATACCGCAAAGGTTTGCGTTGTAACGCAAAGGTTTGCGTTATAACGCAAACATAGGAAGAAATATAAAAAAAAAGTGTGGCGCTAATACGCTTCCGTACATACCTCCTTTTGTTGTATTTATAACTTTTGGTTTGATCGTTGTACTTGTTGTTGTCAAGTGTTGAGTTGTAGTCTGTGAATTTACTAGGGGTGTAGACTGTTGTACTCTGGAAATAAATAAATAGACAAATAACATTCAAGAAAACTCCTTCAAATCCCACCTGGGTCAACGCTAAACAAATCTTCACGTTATCATTACAATTATTTTCAATTATCTGTCATTAAAAGTTCGATACAGATTCTTTCAATTGCAGTCACATTTGAAGTCGGAACCACGTTAGATTTTGACTAATTTTAGTTGGACGCTAACAAATGCTCAGTGGCAAATATTTCATGCATTTTCTGGACGAGAACGTGTTGAACGATATGTCAAAAAAGTTGGCACTTAAAAAAGTAATCGACAGGGTTGAGGGTGAGAAATCTGGATTCTCAGAACGAGTATAAAATCGCTAATTCGGGTTTGGTCAAGATGAGCATACAATAGAATAATACATAATTAAAACAAAATATGTATAACGTTTACCTTTATTGTTAAGATATGTCAAATATGTGGGTAATTTTGGTATCAAATGAAAACTTTAGGATTGGGGATCACTGTAAAATTCTGGTTAAATGGTTAGTGTGAATAATAAAAAAAAGTGTACGTTACAAAAACTGATATGTATCGAATATCTCCTCAACAGCAGTGTGTAGAGAATAACATTCGATTTTATGGGGATATGACGAGTTGTATGAAAATGTTTTAAAGTTTACTATTTAAACTCTTCAATACTAGCATTTAAATTCTATTAGATGTAGTCAACTTTGGTTAAAAATACCTGTGAAATGATTACATCCCTTATTTTTTAAGGTAAAACATTTCCTGAATTTTTAACTTACGGCTGTATGACAGGACCACCACTTCTCTTAAGTTCATCGTTTATTGCATTTATCAAAGGAAATTTTCCTTGTCCACAGTTGCCATGGAAATCATCTAGATCTAGAGCCCAGATCATAGTTCCACCAAAACCATGTTGTTTAATGTACTTAACCTGTTTCGAAGAAAATCATAAGAGTAAGTGTCACATGTACTAAGTGTGTCTGATTGGTCAGATACCATGGTCCTTACTTTGAGTTCAGAGATAAAACGAGCTGTAAAAATAAAAGCCGTCAAATGATTGGAACATACTAAATATGATAAATTTCAGTAGTCTCCGGAAAGAATGAAAATATCTTGCCGGTTTGTACATGGTTGTGATTAATTTGAGAATAGCAAACAATTTCTCCCTTCAAAAAGGTTTCCGTCAATGGTTAACAATTCAAAATTTAATAACTTAAAACCTATTTTGTGTTAATTTTTCATGCTGTGCAATTATTTGTCAAATTTAACAACCATTCAAGATACCTTTGTTCTTATACTATCCACATCTTCATATCCAATCCATTGTGACCCTTTTACAACATAGGGGACCATTTGATCAGCAAGATAGTGTCTTGTTCCACCAGTTTGCAATAGTTCACAAATCTATTCAACAAAAGGATATTTCAATAAGATTATTTGTGATTCAATTCAAAATAAAAACATAAAAATATAAACATTCGTTTGCCAGTTTTTTGATATTTTCAGTCCGGATAAATGAAACGGCAAGTTATAGATTATATTTCGTTAATTTGTTTTAATAAAAGCGGATTTCAACTTCTCAGAGTGATAAATTTTCAAACTCATGATCAAACGCTTCATATAGAAAAACTGTTCTGTATTTTGTTAATTTCACAATTTAATGAATACATATAGTTTTTGCTGTATTCTACATACGTGTAACAACAGACTAAAATTTCCCTTTATTTACCACATTTTGAAAAGTTGTGTTTTGTAAATGATTCCCACACAACACTAAGGACGCTTGTTTGTTTGTTTGTTAGTGTTTGTCGCCACTTTAAGCGATCTTTGCTATAGCATGGCGACCAGTTTTTATTGTTGGAGGAAGCCCAATTATCCCGAGAGACCCACGGACATTAGCTAATGCATGAGAACTGACAATCCTTGTCAATTTAAAAAGACCGGAGTCGAACACACTTAGCCGCGAACGGGGTTCGAACTCACAACTTAAGAGGTGACAGGCTATCGATCACTGTATAGATGAACTTATCTGACCACTCGGCAACAGAGGCCCAACAACAGTAATAAAATATGAAATCTGCCGTTTTCAAGAAAACAAGTTAGATATCATGAATATAAGGATTACTATAACTGCTTAGAAACCATGATTTTGGAGTTTTTCATCAAAATAAATTTTATAAATATTTATGATTTATACTAGTATTGAAATATATGATAATATAAAGCTTTGAAAGTGTCTAATAGGCTGTGCAATGTTCCAAACGAAACAAGTCCTTATCAATTTCAAAATACCTAGTTTCCTCTATCTTTTTTACCTTAGTCTTCAAAATTTTGTCAGAATAGTTACACAGTGTGGGAACGGAACTGTACGGTTTTATAATGTTTTGGTCATTCGGGAGACTGTCAAGCGGGGCTCCGACATTCGAAACAATAACAAGTTGCTTGATGGAAAGTTTGATGAATTCAAATGTTACTATATAACGGTTCTGCTTCAAGTTTTTGTAATCAAAACATTCTATATATATATGAACCAATAAAATAATAAGTACGTTTTCCTTAGAATGGCGGGGTTCCGAGTAAATCAACAAAAGCTGTCACGGAGCAGCGATCAAAATTGTTAAATAAACATCGAAAAACCCATCGTTACTACCAGAATTTTCACATGTACATTTTCTGATATATAGTCTTACATGTACCTGTCTGAAAGTGTAAAAGTCATTGTCCCAGTAGAAACCCAAATATATTGATCTCAATGTCAGATATTTTTATTGACTGTACAATCGCTTGCAAGTTTACTGTACAATCACTTGGAGCTTTCCTGTACAATCACTTGGAGCTTTCCTAGCCAAATTCATTAAATACATTACATATGCGTTTATTTGGTTGTGTTTTGTCTGTGCTATTTTAGTCAACTATGGTATTTGAAATAAAAATGAGCACGAATTAATATAGATAGTTAAAAATCTATCACGGAAACATTTTTGAAGGTGTCTATATCAGACAGAAAATCAAGATTCGAATAATAAGTATACAAGACAAAATAAAAGGAAAGTACACATGTAAAGAAATCACTAAAAAAATAGTGCTCGTACAAAAATAAATAACAGAAAAGATGACTAGGTGCTCCGGAAGGGTAATCATATTTTGAAGTTAACTTAATTTGTTAATCCAAACAGTTTAAAAAAAATATATACGTATGTTGACAGTACAACAAAGAATGTTTCAGCACAGGACTAGGATATTCTAACTTGATAAAGGCATTCGTATGTGGAATGGTGGTAGCTATTCGCTGAACAAAGAAAATACACGTATGTGTCAATAAACATGATATAAAAAAAAGAAGATGTGATATAATTGTCAATAAGATGGCAAAACGAGTCAAAAGCTCAAACACGAATTGACAACTGTCATATTCCTGACTTGGCACAGGCACTTTCCTATGTAGAAAATGGTGGATTAAACCTAGCTTTGCTACTAGTGGTAAAATGCTCTCTTAATAATAAAATGTATCAATGATAAGGGGTATGAGTTCTTATCTAAATGACAAAGAAAACACAAAATCCTTATATTTCATGAGTTTCTTCATAATAATAAGCAGTATTACACAGTTTATTTGAGATTGAACAACATTTTATCAAACCACATTTCTATCGTCAATATGAAAATAAGGAGATGTGGTATAATTACCAATTAGACAACCATCCACAGAGTTCAAATGAAGTGGATGTAAGCAGTTATAGTCGGCTATTAAATGTCCCAACATGAAAAATATGAAACAATTAAATTTCGAAAACTGACGGCCTAATTTATAACAAAATAATTTCCGAAAAAAACATATGACAGACATGAGTCAACGACAACCACTGTACTACAGGCTCCTAAATTGAGACAGGCAAATAAAGATAGCGGCGGTGTTAAATATGTTTGTGTGCGCTCAGTCCTCCCAAAAACTGTTACAAGAACAAACTATAAAAATCAATTGAATGATCAGTTCATCATGTAAAACTATCATGGACGATATCAGACCAGACGTGGATCCAGCCTTTCTGAACAAAGGGTGATCCAAACCATGGAACTCCATGAAATGTTCATAAGTTAAAATAAAATCGAAAAAAGTGGGGTTTCAACCACCAGAACACCCTTTCCCCGCACACCGGATCCCCTAATGCAGACTGCATCCATTAATTAAACACAAAACCCTCAAATATAAGTGACACTTTCTAATTTGTTTTTGAGGCTTAAATAAAAAAAATTGATAACAATACCAAATACCTGTTATTCAATCGTTACAGAACAAAGAAATCAAACTCATGCCAGACATATGTTGCATTGGATTGCAGCAATTTTATTGAATATTTATAAATATGACATAGATTTCATTGAAAGTAAAAACTGTATATGAATGTTGCAGAATAGATAGCAGTAAGCATTTCCTACTTGAGTGTCATAATTATTCATATGCCCAAAACGTAAACACTAGCGACTATTATGTTCCATTAAATATCAATTCGCTTTTTGACCTATAATGAATTCCTCTTTATCTCCGATTTGGAACAGCATTGTAAAACATATCCTAATGATATGTTTTAACCATTAAAAAATGGGTCATTTCCTTTTCTCTTTTAACAGGGAGATTGATATAAGAACAAAATTGTTCTGATTTTTTGTGTATAACTGCAATTACTTTTTGTGTTTCATATATTTCAAATAAAATATGTTTTAACTAAAATCTATATATCACGAAAATATGATAATGCAAAATAATGCTAATGACATTTGTGTCATTAATTTAACCTGCAATCGAAAATATCAGTGCTAAGCCAGTTTTTATATAGAACATTTTTAATCATTTAATTACGAATCAAACAAATCAAGTCAATTACGATATGTGTTCTTCCTTTCAATTTTTGTTTACCAAACTTTTGCATTTAATTGACCAAGCGATTGTACAGGAAAGCTCCAAGTGATTGTACAGTAAACTTGCAAGCGAATGTACAGTCAATAAAAATATCCGACATTGAGAAAATCAATATTTTTGAGTTTCTACTTGGACAATGGCTTTTAAACTTTCAGACAGGTAAGACTATATATCAGAAAAGGTACATGTGAAAATTCTGGTAGTAACGATGGGTTTTTCGATGTTTATTTAACATTTTTTATCGCTGCTCCGTTACAATTTTGATCGATTTACGCGGAGCCCCACCATTCTAAGGAAAACGTTTGGATGCATATGTCGTTTTTATTATTTTATTGGTTCATATATACATATAGAATGTTTTGATTACAAAAACTTGAAGCAGAAACATTATATAGTAACATTTGAGTTCATCAAACTTTCCATCAAGCAACTTGTTATTGTTTCGAATGTCGGAGCCCCGCTTGACAGTCTCCCGAATGACCAAAACATTATAAAACCGTACAGTTCCGTTCCCACACTGTGAGTTAGGTATTTTGGGTACATGTAACAACTACTAGGTATTTAGTGGAAAAAAACCCTACTAGGTATTTTGAGACAAGCTATACATGCATAAGTTCAAAACTCATCTGTTTGTTTTAAATGTAAAATTGTATAATAGTATATTTGCTGCTCCCGAAGTAAATTATTCATAAGTGGTTGTTTGACTGTTCTCTCCTTCATTGTTCTACTTCTCGTTATAGAATAAAATTGAGAACGGAAATGGGGAATGTGTCAAAGAGACAACAACCCGACCATAGAACAGACAACAGCAGAAGGTCACCAACAGGTCTTCAATGCAGCGAGAAATTCCCGCACCCGGAGGCGTCCTTCAGCTGGCCCCTAAACAAATATATATACTAGTTCAGTGATAATGAACGCCATACTAAACTCCAAATTGTACACAAGAAACTAAAATTAAAAATAATACAAGACTGACAAAGGCTAGAGGCTCATGACTTGGGACAGGCGCAAAAATGCGGCGGGGTTAAACATGTTTATGAGATCTCAACCCTCCCCCTATACCTCTAGCCAATGTAGAAAAGTAAACGCATAACAATACGCACATTAAAAGTCAGTCCAAGAGAAGTCCGAGTCTGATGTCAGAAGATGTAACCAAAGAAAATAAACAAAATGACAATAATACATAAATAACAACAGACTACTAGCAGTTAACTGACATGCCAGCTCCAGACTTCAATTAAACTGATTGAAAGATTATGTCTTCATCATATGAATATCAGGCACAATCCTTCCCGTTAGGGGTTTAGTATCATACCATCATAACATATATGAGAAGAACATAACCCGTGTCATGCCAACAAATGGTTTTTAAATAAATGTGTTTAGTGCCGATGCAAAGACCCTATAAGTGAATCAATATTAACGCCAAAATATGCAATCTTTAATGACCTGACAACAGTATCGTAACTATATCCCTTCTTAATAAGTCTATTTAAAGGTTTTGTTAGCTTCAGAGGTGAATACTGACATTTTTGTGCTTTATAAAGAATATTTCCATAAAAAATTGGATGTGAAATACCTGAACGTATAAGAAGTCTGCATGTTGAGCTATATTTACGAATGATGTCCTTATACCGATGATAAAATTTAGTAAATGTTTTGACTAGTTTGTGATATCGAAAACCCTGGTGCAATAATTTTTCAGTAATACATAAATTTCTCTCTTTAAAATCTAAAACATTGTTACATACACGAGCGAATCGTACAAGTTGAGATATATAAACACCGTAAGATGGTGACAAGGGAACGTCACCATCTAAAAATGGATAATTAACGATAGGAAATGAAAAATCATCTCTTTTATCATATATTTTAGTATTAAGCTTTCCGTTAATGATATAGATATCAAGATCTATGAAGTTTGCATGTTGAACTCGAAAACCACAATAAAACCAAAATGAAAACTGTCAAGTACATTACAGGATACAATCGCAATAACTGAAAATCTAGAAAATAAAATACATGTTTTAGCTTGAAACATTCAATATAGCGAACGAAAAAGCCAAGCAACATGTTGTATGGATAACCCACAGCTACGTCATTCCTAATTATCTGTAATGTGGCCTAGGTTGACCAAATGCAAAGACTGAACACACGTTTAACTACAGCAAGATATACCTCATAATATGCCATGAAACCCTTTTCTCCAGTAAAAGGTCCAGCATCACTTGGACTTCTGGAAGGTGATTCTAAACCATGACTGCCTGGGTTTCGTAGAGTGAAACCTCTCCCATACATAGCCAACCCTACATTTATCATAGAAGCTGGCATACCTCCTTTTACCCAGTAATTAGCGGCCCAATCCTGATGAAATATAAATAAAATAATACATTCAAAATATTGCAGCTGCATTATGTGTATTTTAAAAAAAAAATTCTGATTGAACTATTGAAATTATTTTAAAGCACTGGCTAGCTTAAAACCAAAATGAAACAAGTACAATGTCCTCATACACTATTGCATGTAACATTTTTATAAAAGGTTTGAAAATCTGTTTGGATGCACAGTATTGAGTCAACATTGTTTCCCGGCATTCTATTGAACTATGTGAAATAAGATAATGCTTAAACATGTTTTATGAGGTCTATGCATTTTAGAATTATAACATAATCAATCTATCTGATATTTATCGAACTCGTGTAGATATAATAGCTACACGTCAACTTACCAAATTCATTGATGCTGCATCTCCTGTTTCTCCGGTGTGTTTGAATAAACCACTGTTGTGACCTGTTTTGGTTTCCCAGCTTCCATGCAAATCATAGGTCATTAGATTGACCATCTCTAAATATCTAGATTACAGAAATATATTTTTATGACTGTACAGTTTATACGTGGTCAATTTATAGTGGAACATTTAAAAAAAAAAATGAATATTAGTAAATACAGATCCCAAATAAAATGAAATGCAAGAAAATTGAAATAATTGGGAAAAATCTTCACCCCCTCCCCTTTCCATCCACCGATAAAATGTAAAATAAACTCCCAACTATCTGTTTATAATATATTAAGGTGACACTAGTATACAACATCAATAGCAATAATGGAGATACATATAATATGGATGTGCCTTGCCTGTTGTACTTTACACGGAGTTCAAAGCCAACTTCCGAAGCAAGATAGCAGGCTCTACCAACTTAAACGAGCTTCGGTCGCTGCTTGGAAGTCTGGTTCATTGGTAATCTATGTCACAACATTTCTACGTGAAAATAAAACTTGGAAATCCTTTACGATCAACTTCAAATTTTATCAACATTTATAAAATTTAAATTTTATATAAAGTTTTAAAGATTTAACTTCGCTGTTTCAGAAAAAAAGAGAAAGAAATGGAAAAAATACTTTTTGCAACTATATCTATTTATTTCTCTTTAGCTTGTAAGACCAGCAATATTAAGTTTGATTTCTTCTCTTTTATGATAGGATAGGATAGGATAGCTTTAAACATGGATGTCATTTTGTTCAAGGTCAAAATGCATGACTTCGCAAAAGTGCCTTTACCGCTCATTGTAGACTCCAATTCTTCTTTTTGAGTATACAATTTTGATTTCATTGCATGCTTATATCCTTAGATAGGCTAGCTGTATCTTTTATGTATGACTTATATCCAAATTCACTTCTTACGTCAAATGAAGATTTGTATTTCGCTTGTGCTTTTTTGTTTATCTCGTCTATTTTATAAGCTTGGCTCTTTTTTCTTTAGGATAGCTACAGTTGACACTCAATTGGATTAAAAATTATGTTTGGTAATGTTTTTCTTAATCTTAATAAAATTAAATAGAAAATAATTTTACTGTTTACGTTATATAGTGGACCAAGAAGTAAACCTTCTAATCAGGACTGACGTAATTTGTTGAAGGAAGTCTGAAAGATATATTATCTGAACGAGTTGTCAGATAAAAGACTATAATCTGTACACTTGATGACGTCAAATAACTGATATTCAGTGTTCTAAATTGCCGTTTATATCTGCGTTCATCATGCTTATGAAGCACTGCACGTTTTAACATGCGTTATATCGAAGAATCTTCCTTACAGTTGTACCAGCGCAGACATAATGAATAAAATTAATGTTCGTAAAAAATTACCTAATTGTTACCAGTCAAGTAAATTTGTGCGTTTGTGATAACAAACATTTGCCGATCTGAAGAGGCAGGTCATTTCCAACTGATTTTCAAGGTTTGTTATTATGTTGTGATATTAAACCACTGTACCAGGTTATAGAAGGGTGGGCGCTCACAATTGCACAAACATGTTAAACCCCGCCACATTCTAGTTCTGCTTGTCCGAAGTCGGGAGCCTGTAATTCCGTGGTTGTAGTTGGTTGCTGTCTGTCATACTTGTTTTTCGTTTTTTGTTTTGTCATAAATCAGGCCGTTGGTTTTTTCGTTTGAATTGTTTCATATTTTGTTATGTAGAGGCCTTTTGGGTCAAACGCTTATTTTGAATCAAAGCGTTCATTCTACATGCTACATGTTCCTGGTTAGTTATGACAAAACTTCCATTACATAATATTACTAACTTTACCATCTCCGGTATGTTGTAGCCACTATCTATATTACTTTTGCCTGCGGGAACAGCAGCCGACAAAATCAGTTTTGGTTTCCCAGTCGTTTTGGTTTCTGCATCAAATTCTTGCTTTAAAATCTGCAAAATATTTATCAAACTAAAGACTCATTTCGTTTTTATCAATTGAAGACGTTCATTGAATTTATAAAATGGATATATGAAAAAAATACATAAAGCATTTGAAACTCATAGGTATATAAGTGTTAAAGTCTTGATGTACCTTTAATAATTCGATATAATTGCGCTTGTCTGCTGTTGTTGATCCAGACCGTTTGGTTGGATATTCCCAATCAATATCTAAACCATCGAAATCATGGTTCCTAAGAAAGGCAACACTTGTTCTGGCGAATTCCCGTCTGTCTGCGTCAGTAGCACTCATGTGGCTAAACGGTTTTGAACCCAATGTCCATCCTCCAACGGCAATGAGAGTTTTTAAATTTGGGTTTTGAGTCTTTAATTCATTGAATTTAGCATACCTAAAACAACAAGATATGTGTTTTAAAATATTTTCCTGCGACAACCAGCATGCACAAACAACTTTCATTTGACAAGAAGAAAATAAATACGCTATGTGATAAGGGATAATCGATATTAATATTGACATTCATAGGTTTTAATATAAAAATCATATATAAATATGTTTTCCAAGCGCAAAACGCGTGTTTCTGAAATAACCTTCATCAGGTTAAGCGTCTACAAACATGTTTAACCCCGCCACATTCTGTGTTTGTCTGTTCTAAGCCAGGAGTCTGTAATTCAGTGGTTGAACCTGTTTACGAATGGTTAGTAACTGATTGTTTAATGTATGTCCGTGTCTGTAGCACTGTTTTACAGAGAGGAACAAATTGTCGGCATTCCTATGGGAACGAACTGTGAGCCTCTCCTTGCCGACCTCTTCTTATTTTCATATGAGTCGGAGTTCCTTCAGACACTTGTCAAAAACAAGAAGATCAAAGAAGCCAGATCATTTAATTTCACATTCAGATATATTGATGATGTTCTTTCCATTAACAATCCAAACTTTTCTAATTTGGTTCCATTAATATATCCTCCAGAACTAGAAATTAAAGAAACAACAGACACGGCTTCTTCCGCCTCATTTTTAGACTTATACCTCGAATTTGACATAAACGGTCATTTCAGTACCAGATTATTGATTTTAAAAGTTATTTCTCCCTTATATATAACTAAACATGTAAAATTATTCAGTTATTAACACTCATGTTTCTACATCCTGTTGATACCTATGTTTATGCCATTGCACATGGCCATGCTCGCTTAGAATGTTTATGACGTCTCTATCATAAATCCGTTGGATGTGCAATGATTGAAATAATAGTCTTAGGGAACATAGTTAGGTTATTAGTTGAAATTAAGCTTTGAACTCGCTTTGAGTATATGGATTGCATCTAAATTTACGGGCTCTATAAGCAATATCACATGACATGACATTCCGTTTTCATAAGAATTTTACAGGTACAGCTAAACTTCCAAACCAATCTTTGTATATCTATGAAAGAAATGCGTAAAAGTTTTACGTAATTTTTTACTTTCATTGAAATCTAAGCGTCACCATAGACTCGGGCACAGCGTACCAGTTGTGAAATAAACGCACCGTAAGAAGGGAAAAAAGAAAAATCTCCGTAAAAAAAAAGAGAAAAACTATCAATTATAGGGTAAGACAAATTGGGTTTTTTGTTGTCATAAATTGTATAGTGTTTCCAATGTAAAGCTGAAATAACCAAAATAGTCAGGAAAATTATCGTTGTTTGTTTAACATTGACTTAAAGTAAGTTCCATAGGGTAAATTTCATCAGTATGATAATCTTTATTGTAGTTTAAGACTGAAGCTAAATGGTTATCTTTTTGTATTTTAAATTTGCATATGGTTTCTCATTTAGGATTTAATTTGATATGTTTCAAAACGTCTGCTTTCTTTTCTAAAATATTTTCCTACGCGATCCGAATATTTTGCTTGAGAATCTGATAGTTAAAATTCTTACATTCCTTTCATCCAGGGAGTACTTTCATCATTCCATTCGAACGAATGTAGTTTGTTCCCCTGTAATTTGGCAAAGGAGTATATTAGATGTGTGCAGAAGTCCGGACCTATATCTGTTGGCATGAATTTTCCTGTGGAGGTTCTATACTGGGACCAGTTTGTATGATAACAGACCCTTCGATATGCTGAAATGATACAACGGTTTTCAACATTAACAAAACGTAATATGAGGTCAAACAGTGCACAACCCTTTAAAGGTAGTGTTTGTATGTTTTCAGTAGAGATCGTTTTGATGGAATAGTAATTTTAATGGAAAAGAAAGGAAATGATGTATCAATTCCTGACACAAATTACTACGCGAACATGAAATATCTTAAGCGAAGGAACAGAACTTTTACCCCAAAGTCACAGAGAGGCCTTCAACATGGAGCAAAATCTCTCACCTTACTGCAAGTTCAAGACGACTCATAGCACCGGTTCGAGCGGAATTCTATGCTAGGAGTCGATCACACTTCAAATGTGCATAGAAGAACACATAAAATTGAGAATGGAAACGGGGAATGTGTCAAAGAGACAACAATCCGACCAAAAAGCCAAAGGCCACCAATGGGTCTTCAACACAGCGAGAAATCCCGCACCCGCACCCGGAGGCGGGCTTCAGCTGGCCCATAAACAATAATGTATACTAGTTCAGATATATTAATTTATGGATAAACCAATATATTTTGGCCTAGAGCATCACTGAAGAGACATTATTTGTCGAAATGCGCATCTGTTGCATTTAAATTGGTAATGTTTATGTTATTATAAGAAAACAAAAATTAAGATGCACATATACATGGTTTGTAGGGTGCCTGAAATAAGACAAAAGTAGTTTAAACTCCCAATCCGTTCAAAATTATGTTTATTTTGTTAGTTTTAAAGCATAGAAATGTCATTTATATAGTGTCTCTTTGATACCACGAACTTGTCATTATCGACAAGATGTAAACTTTGAAATACATTTTATTAAAATTTTATTAGAATGAAGATGCGAGATTGCTCACAATGTCGAACGGACGGGGATGAACGGAACGGGACGGACGAACGAACATCATCATTTTTATATCCTCCAACTCACATGGCGACAAGGGACAAACAAAAACTCGTACATGTTAAGTTCTACTTGGTAAGCATAAAATATCTAAAAATACAAAAAATAAATAATTTATTTTCACAGAATGATTTTTTTTTTGCTAAATCACAGATCAAGTTGGTGTTAAGATTGTCCAAATTACATGTTCTATTAAAATGCGCAAGTCTATGTAAACGAATAAAACTGATGTGATATGAAGCATATCTCCTTATATGCGAAACATATTTTTGAAAACTGTCAGATAGATAATTGCATCAATGTAAACAATATCACAGTATCTATATAATTAAAATAAGTAATATGATTAATCAATCAATAGAGAAATGAAACTGGTTGTAAGGGTTAGAAATAGCCATGATACTTGAACTTGACGACTGATTCCCTCCCATCAAGCCGCCCATAAGTTCACTAAAACTACCATGATAATATGTTTACAGAAAAAATAATATTCGAACAAACATTATTCAAAATTACCAAGACTCCTTTTGGATAGTATACAATAGACTAACAGTCAAATATATAGTCCATATTCATTATTATAAATGTTTTGCTTCAATATTGTTTAAATGTTTCGTCAATTTGGAATAATTTACATATTTCTCGTACTGAAAGAAATTTCTAATGTAACAATGGTTAACTATGTGTATAGATAATCTGATATCTAAGATAGGTTCGCCTTAATTAAATCAAGTAAAAACTCTTACCTGATTCGACATTCCCAATAACTAGAAGGCTGAGAATAATTCTTAAATACATAATCTTAAAATTCTTAATAATTAAACAAGACGTGTGTGTCAGACAATAACAAAAATCAAATGTGCAGTAGAACGTCCTTCGATTGTCGCCCTGGATAAGATAAGTCGCCCACGATTGAAAGCACGTGCCATTATCTATAGTAGTTTTTATGCACACAGATGTCCGAAATCATGTTATACAAGCACATAGATATATATTCAATCAACTTGAGACTAAATAGAAAACGGCATACTCAATTATAAGAAGGACACCTGACATAGAAACAAAACTCAAGTCGATACCTTATATTGAAGTCAATAAGTAGACATAACCACAGACTACGATATAGAGTCACAGTGTTCAGAGTACGTCAAGAACTTTGCAGTGATAACGTCTAGAATTGGGTTTATCACAATAGGAAGTGATATATTGTAGAAATAAGGAAATGAGATATAATTGTCAATGGTACACTACCCACCAGAGACAAAATGACATGGATTTCATAGAACGGCCATCCACAATTAGCGAAACCAATATCGTATAGCCAGCTAAAAAAGACAACTTTTCGAAACTGCCGAATTTCTCTTGAACAAACATACCTCGAAGTTTGAATGAACTTGTTTTGATATTACCAAATGAAAGTATAAATTGTTTTGATTCGTCTTATTAACTTGAATCAATGATCATGATTGTCTAATTTTAAGACACAATCAACATTCAAAGCAACCCTTTGACGTTTTATGACAATGACTGTTATGGTGTTATCCGAATTTGATGCCTCTCGAGTTCAACTCTTCGGTGTGACTGGAAGTACCTATGAATTTTCCATCCAATAAACCAAAGATCACCCTACACGCCTGCTGGTCAATGTGGCCTAACTAACACATTTGAATCTGCTGGAGGAATCCGTAAATGAGCGTTAACACCATTTATTTCCTCTTTTAACGCATGCTTCGGACGCATGAAATTAATAACGTGTTGTTTTCATTTTTAAACATTTTTTTTTGTAAACCAAACATATAAAATAACATATTCCTATTGCTATTGGTCAGAAAATAAGTTTATTTTGTCAATACTTGATCATTTGAATCGTGCCATCAACAAACTGTCCTGCCTATCATGTCGCTCACAAGATCTATCTTGTATATCTAACTTAATTAAAATTTTATTGGCTTATTTTCTATTTTTGCACTGATTTTGTCATTTTCTCTTTTTTTCTCTTTGGATTTATAGTTTTATATTCTTGTTGAAACATATGCCAGTATCTTAACTAATTTATTTTCATGATCTATTACCTAATTATCTAATACAATAGGCCCAATCACATCTTACTGGATACAACACATAGGCTCTGGTCTTCGCATATTGGGTTATTTCTTTCATAACCCTATTCTGTGTAATAGAAGTAGTGCGATAAGAAATGATAAAAATTGATCACAAAATTTGTATATTTTCTTATTTTTTTGGATGAAAGATCATGCAGATAGTACCAGCTGGAAAATTGACGTTAAAGAAATCTTTTTTGTTTGAAAAAGTTTTGGGAATAGCTTAACTGTGAATAAAGGGGTCAATGTAAAAACCCATATATACAAGAAAGAAACACCAACGATTTAAATATTAACAGAAATTAAAATTGTTGTAAATAATAGAGGCGAACTCTGCCACAATTATTTTTAAAGTATCTAGTTTATACATGTCATGTTATGATTCCTTCAACCAATTAACAAGACCATCGCCCCTGTACGACGCTTCGACTTGAAAATTGTATAGAAACGACTTTTATATATATGATGCATTGTTGCAGTGAACATATATTTTCGTTCTGAATGACATACTTTTGACTTAAATACGGTCATTTGGCTTGAAAACATTTCTGCATAAAAGAAAATTAAGATACACCAAGCCCTATCCTATAGCAATTATATCTGTGATCCTAAATATCTCGTCGCACGCTTTATCCTGTATTATATATGGTAACCAAAACATAACAAACATGTTTCGTATGACAAGGCTATTAACGACTAAACAGATGACTTGTTGACAAATACGTAAATTCAAACAATCTTTATATCCAAGGAAGTTTTTGAATAACAGGAAATGAAAAGAAGATATCCCTACAAATAAACAGCAATTAAATAAATAGAAAGAAATGACAGTATCAAAACAAAAAATTCCAACCGATGACACAAACAAGAAACAAGAAAAGCTAGAACTTGTATGTACTAGTAGAACTTGTACCAAATGCATTCTCAATCACAGTCGTCTAAGCCCTGTCCAATTTTCTGTTCTGTCTCTAATCACTTTTTCATTTGATATCGATGGTTATTTCCTTCTGTTTGTGTGGATTTTTTAAGAGAGTGTTTCTAGTCGTCAAAATCATTATTTTTTTCTTTTGAACAATTTTTAAAATTTGCAATAATATCTTATTTAACATTATTTTCCTGAAGTTCGACATCCGTAACTATATAAAAATAAGGAGATGTGGTATGATTGCCAATGAGACAACTATTCACCAAAGATCAAATGAAGTGGATGTAAGCAATAATAGGCAACCGTACGACCTTCAACAATGAGAAAAACCCATACCGTTTAGTCGACTAGAAAAGGCCCCGACATGAAATATATGAAACAATTCAAATGAGAATTTATAACAAAACAATTACGAAAAACAAATTTGACAAGAACCAGCTACAATCACTGAACTACAAGCCCATGACTTCGAACAGGCACATGAAGAAAGTGGCGGGGTTAAACATTTTTTGAAGGCGCCAACCGTCCCCTAACCTGGGACATGGTGAAACAGTACAACATAAGAACAAATTATAAAAATCAGTTGAAAAGGGCGTATACTCAGTTATACTAGCTGCGCCTTCAATTGTACAGTAGGCGTAGCGAGAACGGCCGAATAGTTACGATTGGAAGTTCAAGTGTGCCCTCTAACACATCCGCGGTCATGTAAAAAAAAAAATCACACGTGAAAAATTGTTTATTTGCAACTTGTGAATTCTCATAACATTTGTAGTGTAAATACTTTTAATAATATTATTATAGTAAATTAATTCTGCTTCAGAAAACTATGATATTATATATAAAACTGTGTGTTTTTAATATTGTACTTTGAATTTAAATACATCAATCCTGAACATGCATGAAATATTTGCCACTGGACGTTAAGTAAAAAAAAATTAATCAAAGCATTACAGATCTAGATCATTACGAGTACCATTATTATTAAGAGCCAACAGTACACCCAGTTTGAAGCGTTCAGTTAAATCTCTCCCATTCAGATTGTAAACGATATCTATCTACGATTATATTTATCTACTGAAACTGAAAGCAATATCCCTATTTACTGAATACAATTATTTATTGCATCTTGAAGGTAAACTTGTACCTAAATTATACCCTAGATGTATAGGTTGATAGATCTATGATTATACATTAAATAATCAAGCAGTCATTGCTATCAGCTGCAGAACCGTAGCCAATCAGGTACGTGCCACAATAAAAACAATAAATGTAGTGCTTATATGAGTAAAATTGATAGAACATGCAAGATTTATTATGTGTCTGTTCGTTTGTTTGTTTGTTTGTTTGTTTTCTTTGAGTTTTTTTAGGGTGGGGTTGGGGATGGAAGGGGATTTACAAAATAACAAAACCTTATGATTACTTGTCACCTGGTAGCTTGGTTTATACACAAACAAGTCAATGCTACGAAGGTTCCTCTGAGTATAGAAAGGTCAAGATTTTCTGTCTACTTACGACTTCAGTGCAAGGGATGTCCGTCCATTAGGCTGGGCGGGATGTACAAATACGTAGCCACTTCCGATTGAAATAGGGACGTTAAACCTGTTATCTCATGTAACACAAGTTCCTTGCTCTTTTTGCGTTAACGATGACTTGCGACAACTACGGAGTGTTCCCGTAGGCGACCTTTTATCCAGGCAAAACGTCGACCCGTATCCAACAGACCCTTGTTTTCCAGTCTAAATTACCCGCAATACATCCTGGTTTACTAACTTTGCAGATCATACCTTTTGATTTAATTGTTGATTTGTTCTTGTCAGGAATATGTATGAAATATTTGCAAATGATCGCAAAGCAAACTACAATCTACAGTATTGCTGTTACTGATACATACAGTGAAAACTTTTCTGTCACTGAAAATCAGAGGAATTCAGTGGTATCACAATTTGTTAAATGACCTATACCAACATCTTACGAAACTTTATTAGTATTGATACATTCTACAAACATAAAATGCTTGAAACCATTACTGTTGTAACATCGGAAAACTACTATTGCCTATACATTTGCCCAAGATGTTTTTTTAACTTTAAACATTTGAAGCTGGAAATGACAACAAAACCTCATTTGTAATTTATACCAATTCAACTTTTTTCACAAAATTGTGACAATGAAACAAGTGCTAAAGGCAAAGATCCCGTTTAACAATTTTAAACTACAAAATAAACGATAATTTATTTCTTATTCATGCCTTGGTGTAACAATACACCATGGAGTGGTTTAAAGTTTTTACTATAATAGTGAATCTTGAACATGATTATTCACATGAAAGTTCTTTTGCGTTACCCTAAATATATAAGTTCTTCGTGCAAGTATTGAATAATGGACAACAATGCGAAATAATTTATTGCAATTTCAGGAAATGTTGCTTTCAAAAATGAAACAACACGAATAATGCTATCAAATTTAAATTCTGAGATTATAACAAAACTTATCCCGTAGCAATATTTTCAATAATAAAAACATCGCAAACATTTCTGAATTTAAGAGTAAACAAAAAGACCTTAAATATATTCAAATAAGAAAGGACAACAAGACGAAAGGACAGAACTAGTAATTTTTTAAATGTAATGTTTTTTTTTTAGAAAAGATATTTTTACTTAAACATTCACAAAACAGTTATCATTTGACTTTTGACAAAATTCTGTAATGAAATGTTAAGAAATGTTTGCATTTTGTGGTAGGAAGTATGACAACGTTTGTGTCCTGAGCAAAACAATGAGACTGTGCAGGTAGAAAGAACATGGTCAACAGAAACCTAATGATGTATCATGCTTGACAAGTTCACAATCAAGTTATTTGTTTATTATCATAAGTATTTTACCATACTAGATGATGTCATGAACAGTTTTCTACTTCTACATCTACCACTAAGTGACATCTGTCACTGTTTGGTGTGCGCTTGCATACTTAACAGGTCCAAAATAATTTACAACAGAGACAAAAAATGAAATGTGGGCTGTACATAACGTTTATACACGGTGCAAATAAAAACATGGAACTTGAAATTTAATTAGCATGCAGTAGTCTCTAGAATGAGTCAAGACTTTCTGCAGCGGTCACCGAGGCGGGCCAGGTGTTCCAATCTCTGACTTATTGTTTTTGGGTAGAAGGACTCTTTCCTGATGCTGGTCTTGCAAGACGATATTTGGAACGAGTGAACGTTGGTATGTCTTGATAATCTGTCTGGTGGTATAAGTTTGTCACCAACATTAATCTTAACTTCCTCGTTTAAATATTGTATAGTAGGATTAGCCAAACGTTCTTTCTTCTCTCCTCTGGTGTTGGCCAATGTAGTGTATCATGGTTTCAACTGTTGATGTGTTGTGGTTGGTGTTTGTTACATACCTTGCTGGCCTTCTCTGTATTATTTCTATCTTATGCTTGTCTTTTTGTAGGTGAGGATCCAATATTGAACTTGCGTTTTCAACTGTTGGTCTTACTAATGCTGCATATACCTTTTCCTTGATTTCAATAATTGCTATTTTTAAGTTTCGTTTAGGGAATCCTTGTTTATATGAGTACCCCACTTTAGATCAGATGTTATGGTTACTCCAAGATATTTGGCTGATGACACATGTTCTAAGTTGTGTCCATGGAGGATGTAATATTTGTGTATTGGTTCCTTCTTTTTTGTGATTGGGAGAACTACATATTTATTGGGATGGAACTGCATCATCTGTTTTCTTCCGACGTTTCTAGCTTGTTCAGGTCTTTTGTAGACTGTTGCTTTCTGATGAGACAGTGAGGTATGCAATTGTGTCATCTGCAAATAGCCTCACTGTTGATAAAATATTGTCTGCATGTCATAGATGTAGAAAAGGAAAAGGCTTGGTCCCAGTACTGATCCATGCGGAACTCTGGACTTTTCATTTATGACGACAGACTTCTACCATTCATTGAAAACACACAGTATTCTATCAGAAAGAAAGCTTTTTATTCAAGAGTTTTGTTTTTCCTTTGATTTCCTAAATGATCAAGTTTATGGATTAAAAGACTGTGGCTTACTTTGTCGAAGGCCTTCGAGAAATCCACGATGAGAAAGTATGTTGTCCATTGTCAAGGTTCCTCGTGATATCGTCGATGAACTCCACTAGTTGTGTCGCACATGACAATTTTTTTCTAAACCCATGCTGCATTTTGTAGAGGATGTTATTCTTATACGCAGGATTCATTATGTGGCTGGTGACTATATGCTCTATGATTTTGCAGCAAATGCAGGTCAGAGATACAGGTCTGTAATTGATGGCTTCGAATCGTTTACCTTTCTTAAAAACTGGGCATACATTTGCTGTTTTCCATAACGATGGTACTATTCCAGTTTCATATGATCTCTAATGTATTATTGTAAGGATTGGTGCTACATTTATATTGCCATCTCTTTTAGTACTCTATGTGTTAATTTGTCTGTGTCTGCTGCTTTGTGTGGGTTTAGTGAGAATAGTAGCTTTTTGATTCCATTCTCTGTGATAATTATGTATGTCGCTATTTCCAAGTTTCCACTCATTTTGCACATCTGTTTGTATTCCGATCGGGTAAATACATTTTTACTGGAAAGCGCATCTTTGAACCGCTGATTTGATATATTGACTTTTTCAAATGAATCTTCGTGAAGTAGACCATCTGACTTTAGTGGTCGTATGTTATTCCTATAGGATTTCTTATGTTTAATATATGACCAAAAGTGTTTTATACAATTTGGTATTCATTGTTTTCACTGCTTGATGTGACTATGTCTTCTATGTATCTCCAATATGCCTTGTATTTTTCTTTCTGTGCTTCAAGTTTGAGTTTTTTGTACTTTGAGCTGGCGATTACGTTATTTGATTTCTTATTCCTTTTGTATGCTCTGTCTTTGTTCCTAATAAGTCGACATATATCTGTCGTAATCCATAGGCACCCATTTTAGTGCGAGTTGTTTTGTGTGGAATATTTCTTTTTAAGCTGTCTTCAGTTGTTTTACAGAAGAGTTCCCAAATGACTTCAGCGCTGGCATTTTCCTCAAATAATAATGCGATCTTAGCTTGTACATTATAAAGGTCTTTTTCTACATTTTCCCATTTTGCTTGTTTGTAGAGGATGACCTCTCTTGGCTTTTTATGGATCTTTGCTGATATCTTATTGAACTCTGTATATGCAATGTCATAATCAGATATTCCTGGTATGATCTCAGTTCTCCTAAAACCTTTTGGGTAGTTTGTAAGTGTAAGGTCTAAGATGTTTGTTCCTCTTGTTGGTTCTCCAACTAGTTGTGCTAATGCCTAGTATATCAGTGAATTTATGGTGAATATTCACATGTTGGGTGTTCGGCTTCAGCTGTTTTGTTTTCCAGTGCCAGCTAGGTAAGTTGAAATATCCTACTGCTACTATGAATGAGTTTTTATACAGGTAGCTCTGTTTATGCTGCGTTCAAATTTCATGTTTCCTTCTTCGATAGAGGTTTTAGAAGAGAGGCGAAAGATACCAAAGGGACATTCAAACTCGTAAGTCGAAAATAAACTGACAACGCCATGGCTAACAAAGAAAAAGACAAACAGACGAGCAGCAGTAAACAAAACACAACATAAACTCTAAAGACTGAGCAACACAAACCCCATCAAAAACTGTGATTTAGGATTGTAATATGATGTTAGGTAGATTGCTTTGTGACCTACAAGTTCCAGTTTACAACATACCATTTCGAATTCAGTATGTAATTCTGGTACGTGCAAACTGATGAGATTGTCCCGCCCTGCGCCTCCTCTATTAAAATATCTGTCATTTGCAAAGATGTTATAACCTGGAAGAGAGATCTGGCGATCTTCGATACTAGAGTCCAACCAAGTTTCTGTTCCAAAGATGATATTAGGTGTTGTACTGTCTAACAGGTTGTGCAATTGGCCTCGTTTGGTTTTGAGTGATTGAAAGTTAACGTTAAGCATTCGTAAGGTGTTTTGTTCTTTTGATTTATGCTTTTTGGAGTTATCTGGTGTGGATGAAAGTACTGGATTTAAATTCTAGATGGAGTAGGTCTATCAAATGTTGTATCTTAAGAGTACACTGAAGTGGTTTGACGTACTGAAGACGAATGAGAAACCGAATGTAGAATAATTTGCGCTTCCGCACATATTGCAGTCATAGGCAATAGCAGAATCATTGACATGTTCTATGTAGTCTTTTGAATCTAAGGACTGATAAATAGGCATGATACCACTGGTTACATGTGTCACGGACTATCCATTCTGCCATCCCAATTTACAAGTTTTTACATGGAAATATGGTGGTGTTTGATGTTGAGCCACTGGGACCAGGGTTCAGTTCAATGTCATTTGAGACTGACAGTAAAATCACTTCCTTTGTATCATGACAATTTAGGTTTTTACCATTTTTGAAAGTTGCTGTAATGACACATGTTTCTTGTCACGTTCTACTTGCATGTCCACTGCATATAGTTGTTGTTTCAAATGAAGATGTTTTTCATTTTGTTTGGAATCAATTTGGACTGGACGTTTCGAATTGACATCAAAAATAGAAATGTAATGATGAGTGACATCGCTGGGCAGTATAAGAAGGTTTGATAAGATTAACTCACCTAAACACCTAACTTAACTCATTCTATTGGAGATGATATAAGGTGATTATATAAAGGATACAACAACGTTTGAAGTGAAAAATGACACTTCCGAAATCGGCGCATTAGTTGGGTCTTAGATTAGGTGTATTGCATTAATAGCTAGACCCTGTATAAGAAATGCCTAATTTAGAGAACAAAACCTCAAATAAATATACTTTGATTGGTTTTAAATATACCCTTAGCATGGGTTATAGTCATGAAACGGCAAAAAATACACTTATTACATGATCATCCTTTACGACGGACAAAACATAGCTGATCTGAAAGATATACCATCAGCTACTTGCCATTATACATCATGTTCTGTGTTACAATCCTAGATAAAGCCGGCGAGGAAAGGCATTACTCGACTAACGAAAGCTATATTTTTATATAGCCCGGTTGGTCTAGTGGTCTAGGGCGCTGGACACATAGCAGGCGGTGTTGCTGCAATGTCACAGAAGCATGGGTTTTGCAGACGCAAATTTGCAGCTCTAACATTGAACATACAACATCGCGGCAATAACGTGAAAACACCATGCGATTGGTTGTAACGCATTCTTGTTTCAACAAATCCGCAACACGGAGCATGCAATGGAATAAATAGGGTATGAATTTAAATGCATTACAATCATGTCACTATATTTTATGATTTTAAAACATAATTTATACATCTTACATTGACAGATAGCAAACATATAATTGAAAGACAATATTTGCATGATTTGACATCATATCTATATATATATATATGTTCACTGCCTAAAAAAGGATCTGAAATATTATTTAACATTTTGCATAATCAAGCATATCATATATTTCAACAAAATATTTTCTAACGAATGTTCTGAGTATAAAACAAAATGTGTTTGCATTGTAAAAAAAGGTGTTGTCATTATCACTAAATATTATAAGATTTAATCAACATTCATAAATGCAAAAGAAAAGTCACCTGTATTCCGATATATTAATATTACTTTAGATTAGATATCTTATGTCAGCATAAATTTCATATGCTGGGTTAACCATTATTATCCTTAAAGGTTATACATAGGTTTATTCGACCGTAAAAATAACTGAACAATAGAATCGTAGCTCGACTTGTTTTGCAGTCCACAATGTCTATTAAGCTTTAGACAATTTTATCATAATTTTGTGAAGTTTTCATTCGATTTCATATTTGACTGTCCGTTTCTATAAATAACTCCTCCAAGTTTTCTTTCTCCAAAGTCGTCACTTTTTGTTTCTGAAGACTCAAATCCGTGATTCATGGCACCATTAACAGTTGCTAATTCAAAGTCATCTTTCTGAAAATAAAATATGAGGTTTGTTTTAGACGAGGACGCTTACGAAAGGAATAATTTAGAGACTTGCAGATAAGAAAAGGGATTTTAAAACCGGTTTTAGTATTAGATGTTGAATTATATACATTTGATATTCATTCTTTATTCTTAAAACTTTTACATTTATATTTAGACACTTTTTTCATTGTTAGCACTGCTCGTTTCGCTGATATCTTAGAGCAATTAAACAGATATTACAAATTAAAAGGGGAAGGGTTGGATCTTGACAAACTAGTTAAACCCACCACACGTTTATGTACCTGTTTCGAGTTAGGAACCTGACTAATGGTAGTTTAATGTCAATTAGGGTATTGGGTGTTCATGTAAGATCTTTGATAGCATCTGTTAAATTTATACACAACTTGTTTAGACTCACCATCTCATTTTTTCATATATGTTTTAAATCAAACAGTACGAAACACTTACATATTTTTCCATTCTGTGAACTCTCTGACAGGCAACAGGTAGAAAGCAACAAACTCTGTCCACGAGTCTGTGTATAAGATTAGCATCAACGTCTTCCGGTTCATTAAAACCTATAACAGACGAAGCTCTGATACAATACATTTACGTCTGCATAATGCTTATGCATTGATAATTTAAGTCTACTCCCCCAAATGAGTTATACCTGTTTAACTACAAAAAAAACAAGCATGTGTTCAAAAATACTGTCAGTTTAAAATTATCAAGAATTATTATCGCTAGATTGTTTCAAATTTCTCGTGTACACACCGTATTAATTTGTAAGACTGAGTAAAGTAAAAAAAAAATGATGTTATAATTGTTTGCAACGAGTCGTTAAAATCACTCATTGCTGTCTCTGTATGATTAAAAATTAGACAATTTTTGCATATAACACAAGCAGTATTTAGTTTACCAGTTTACGATGTGCAAATGTAGAATTATTCATTATTTACGTTTTATCAGTTTATCTTTGTTTTACGTGATTGCTGCTTAAACTTTAAGGTATTCTTTATATTTATCTTTGACAATAACTATTCTTATTCTTACACAAATGGCTTCGATTAGGAGTTCATAATCTTAAATGTTTAAATGTGTGTATACTTACCAAGACAACAAGAAGTGATAAAAGTCACCAGTATTCCGACAATTATGCTAATTAATGTGGCGAATAAACCATACCATAGATAAGATAAATGATAAATCCATCTACAAACGAAAACCATAATATTATTAAAATACACGAATAAAATAAAACGATAAAATAGAATAATACGTCAAAAAGAGACAGAAGATACCAAGCGGACATTCAAATATAATAAGTAGACGAGAAACTGATAATGCCATGGCCAAAAAACACAACAAAAGACGGTAAATGTATAACAGATATCAGCACGACAACAAGCGCTTTTATGACTTCAACTCTTTTCGGGGCGTGTAACAAACAAAAAGGCATCATCTTTTCGAAAATTACCTTCGATGATGTGTTATTCCGTTATACTTTCCAACTCCAAACGTAAGCATTTCTAGCTACGGCAAATATGCCTTGTCATTTATAGTCCTGTTTTAATAACGAACGCTGGCGTTAATCCAATGACAAATTGTCTAAAACATTCAGGCTCTTTTTAATTCCATTAATTGTTATTAATAAATAACGGCGACAAAGAATCCGATCGCCGTATTTTCATTGACCAGGTATTGTGTAATATACCATTTATGAACCGCCCTCGTAGGCGATAGACAATAACACTTTTGGAGGTTTTCAGGACGTTTTTTTAAAAAGTCACTTAAAAAATCCTTGGTCTTTACAGTTCTCTTAAATACATGAGTGAAAACATTGCAACAGCCTCTATGTTTCGGTACACAAAATTTCCTTATCGGGTAAAACAAAACAAAAACTTTGCCCTCATCTTTGTTTGTCCCCTTACCCAAAACTAGATGTCGCTGTTCATGCATATTATTCTCGTAAGACAAAAACTCATATATATTTTCAGAAATACGTAGTTAAACTTATGTAATAAATCTAACCGTGTTTTGTCCAAATTCGGACTAAAAAAACTATGAATTGTTCGAAATACTAAGGATTTTCTACCCCTGGAATAGGTTACCTCAGCTGTATTTAGCAAAACCTTTCGGAATTTTAGGTCATCAATGCTCTTTAACTTCGTACTTTATTTGGCTTTTTACTTTTTGTTAGTTTTTTGTAGACAAAACGCGCCTCTGGAGTACAAACTTATAAGCCTGGAATCTTTGTTGAGTTTTTTAAAACTAGAATATACATGTACATAAAAGATGTAGTTTAACATCAACACAACAATACAAAGAACCCAACAAGCTGTTGTTTAAATGATTCAAAATAATTATCACATTTATATCAATATGATGAACGTTATTTCACCGAGGTTTGTCATAATGTTTGCCTCCAATTTATTTCTTCCATACATCAGAAGGAGAAAAAAAGGTTAAGGTTACACACATCAAAATCATTTGAAGCAAGAAGAAAGGAAGAAAATAAATGAAAATAAAAAGAAAATAAATGAAAATATTCGGCAAGAGTATATCTTCTAAATTAAGAATCAATTTATTTATTTATCGCTGGCAAACACTACTATTCTAAGACAATAAGTTCGAAAATGTAACTTGAATACCATTTTATTCTAGGAATTTAACAAGAAGCACTTACAAATCGTTTTCGCTGGAAAGTGTGGCTTGTGTGGTAGTTGCTATCGTTGATGATATAGTAGCTGATATGGACGAATTTGTGGACGAAGAACAATTTTTCTGAATAATACTACACATTTCAGTACTAACATGCATCACTTCGGGAACAGGAAGTAACACTGTGCCACCTACACCTACCCAGAAGGCCATCACAGCGCTTGTAATCAAACCGCATAAAGCTCCCTGTTAATAAAATTTTAATCAAATTATAAAAACGAAGAAATGGAAAGCAATGTCTTGTCATTATATACCGTTGTATCATTTAAGGTCAAAAAGAGGAATAATTCTTAAATTGTGTTATGTTTCTGCACACAACCCCATGTTCGAAGTTATTGTTCTTTCCTTAATTCGGCTATATTACACAGGGAACATGAACCATTCGCAAAACTAAACCTTCCACATAATTTGTTCAAGTCATGAATCTGGCCAGGTGTTGTTTCTTTGTGTATTTTGTTTATCTATGATATTCAGTTCAATTACAAATTTGAAATGATAAAGAGAAAGAAGGCACTAAAGGGACAATCAAAACTCCATGGCAAAAAAACGCGCGGGAGGGGGGGTGGGGGTCTAATAAAATTAAAGACAAACGACAGTAAAAACAAACAATACATTGAGGCGTATGGGGGATAGACACAACATAAAAATTCCATGGATTACCAGAAACAAACAATTTATAAGAGACAGACTTTAATTGCTGTGCTTTGTCTTGACAGTTACTGGGAAGTTTTCATCGGTGAATTTGAGAGCTCAAAAACTATAGGAAAATCGAGACCTTTAGTAGATATCTAAATAGTTAGTTTACAGTAGTGGTAAATCGAGCAAATAGTAATTGGTACTGTTTCCTACAAATAATATTAATTGATGTCCATAACAATAGTACATGTTTCTTCAATCAAACATCCAATCAAAAGATTTAATCAAGACACTTCTATGAAAACAAGCTAATTAAATGGACGTACGTTTGAAAGATACAATGGAAAAGGATGATGACCGCAAAAAAACTTTAGTCACGACTATTCCTCCAGTGAAGTTTGATGAATATGGTTAACCATGAGATACTATTACATTCGAAATAATTAGGAGCATACACCTCATAGACGAGGACATCTTTAATTTACTGTAATACATATACAATTTCCCGTAAACTGCAAAAAGGGGCAAATATTTAGCCCGTACATTTATTATTAATTATGTTCAACTTACCGTTGAATTGATAAAAGGGAAGAAAATTCCACTGATAAATAATCCAAGCAGAGGTCCTCCTACCATTCCAAAAATACTTAACATAATCTAAAATGGGAATGTACGAATAATAAGTATGACTGTCAGTAATTTAAGTAATATAAGTTACATTTTAATTTTAAAGTTACCTGTACAAACATTTGAGCAACTTGCTATTGCAATGTTTCAGATAAGTTCTGTTAATATATTGATTAATTGTTGCTTGTTTAACGTCCATCGGCAACTATTAGGTTTTGGAAGGTAGGTCGATCGGGATGAAGGGCGGTATATATTTTGATAGCCATTGGGAATGTTGGATAGGGGAAGACATTTTCCCTTGCAACAGAATACCTACAATGGACGAAACCCGCAGAGTTGTTGCAAGGGTTCTTTACAGTGCTAAGAGCCTAGCACTCCCCTTACACTTCGGCATCAGAGTTAACGTCCCCATCCCGACCGGACGGGACTGCGCATTTATACGTCCCGCACAGTCAAACGGACGTCCCTTTTTAGCAAGGGTTTTACTGTTGCTGTGGCCACTAATTAAGCAGTGTATTTACAAGGAATGTGTTATAAAACATTCTAGTCAGGTGTTGTTCAGTTGATCTAACGATTTATGAGACAATGTTTGAAAACAGTCAGGATTTTTTTTTGCAATGCTCTAGATCTTTAGCTTGCATGTAATTATGCAACTCTGTTATTTTGTAGTAGTTTCTACATGATCATGCTATGGCAACATTTAATGTGTGCGGTCATCTGATACATGGTATGACATTCTCCAATCGTATTTTTAAATTTTTATTTTAAGAAATTTTCCGAATTTTATAAAAGTTCTTGTTTACCTGTAAAACTGTTTGTCCTAAAAACTGTGACAAAAATGCAATACCAATTACCAACCCTCCAGCAAACAGTCCTAAAATGCGTATTAACAGTATGAATTTTAATGGAACTTAGTAAATATATTTTTATAGCGCAAATAATAAATGAGTTTAGAAAAATTGTGATGAAGTATACCTTTCTAAATACCAGTGCAGGGTCGATAGCTCTTTCATATATATCGAGGGTTTTATAAGAAGTAAAGTAAAAATACTTGTAAAAAAAAAGAAGATGTTCAAAGACACTCAGATGCCACAATGTTTCTAACATTTTTTTTTTAGTGTTGTGCGGTTGCCTATGTTGTTAGGAATGAGGGATGGATAAATACCCTGCCACGTCCGGTCTGTGTTTGTGTTTGATGTTTTTCTGCTTTGTATCGATCTGATGAGTTAAGCCTTTTTCAACTGATTTTTATAGTTTGTTCTTATGTTGTGCTGTTACACCACTGTCCCAGGTTAGGGGGAGGGTTGAGCGTCCACAAACATGTTTAACACCGCCACATTCTTTATGTGCCTGTCCCAAGTCAGGAGCCTGTAGCCAGTTGTTATATTGGTTCATGTCTGTCATATATGTTTTTCGTTAATTGTTTCGTTATAAATTAGGCCTTTAGTTTTCTCATTTGAATTGTTTCATATTTTTCATGTCGGGGCCTTTTATAGCCGACTATACGGTATGGGCTTTTCTCATTGTTGAAGGGCGTACGGTTGCTTATAATTGCTTACATCCACTTTATTTGAACTTTGGTGGATAGTTGTCTCATTGGCAATCATACCTCATCTCCTAATTTTTATATTGATCATTTTAAAAGAACAGGCAATATCATGTTTGTCCACTGTCATATCTTCCGTTGGTTTATGACGATCTTCAATCAAGTGTGAAGACGAAGAAGAGTGACACGTGATCACTTTCTTTGACCTTTCGGTTATTTCCTAGTATATTTTGAGACTCTTATCTCATGTATAATCATGATATTTCATTTCTGTTCCAAATTCGTAAATTTTGTCATTTAGAACCAGTCCATGTAAGAATCATGCAAAATCTTCATTGGTGCAAAGCCTGTAGGTGAAATTTTATATCTACAATTTTGATTATTTTAATCATTCTAAAATGCTCTAATAAAAAGAACTCTATGTTACTTTGCACGAAGTTTATTTAAATCTTACCTAATAGTTTAGCTATTCTTCCTTGCCACAAAGGTGATGGAGCATTACCTCTGTAATCCCACCATAATTTTAAAACGTCTTCTAATATTACAATTGCTAACGCATTTAATCCGGATGATATTGAACTGAAATATAGAAATAATATATGGACCATTTCGCTCTATGAAATTTAATGTACAAAATACCGGTACGTTAAAACAATGGAAAAGAGGATGAAGACACAAAAGGAACAATCAAAATTCATAGGTCGAAGAAAACCCGACATTACCATGACAATTAAGAAAAAAACGAAAAAAAAACAAAAGAAAAACAACAGTTTACAAAACAAATAAATAGAAAAACTAAAGACTGAGCAAAACGAACAACACCAAAAAACGGGGCTGATCTCGTGTACTCCAGCAGGGTAAGCAGATCCTGCTCCACATGTGGAACCCGTCGTGTTGCTCATGGTAAGTATAGAAAGTATTGATAATTAAATTTCAATTATGTATGGCACTGCAGGAAGTTTATGAGCAGTAACATTAGAAAATATCTGGAAGAACAGGTTTTAATAAAATTCTTAGGATATAAGTTTTCAAGTACTAAATGTTTAAATACCATGTGAAAAGCATAATTTCCTCATAGATCTAGAAAAGATCACGAATTTACTATCGTCCTTCCCTTCGCTTATATAACCCTGCTAATTCACTACATAGTTTTCGTAGCATGGTTTTGAGACTTGAGCAGAACTTAACTCGCATATTCTGTTCTACGATTCGCGGACAAGGATCTGACAACGCTCCGTTCTACTTTCTGTAGACCTTTCGGATCCTTTAGTTTTGTTATAATGATACACACCTTCAAAAATATGTAGACAGAAATTTCGTTGACTGGTGTAAATAATAACCAGGACAGAAAGTAGAACGGAGTGTTATCAGATCCATGTAAGCGTGTACACAGGCTCTGTATTTTAATCAGATTGTTAACTAACATAATTGTGAATCTTAGTTTTAGGTGATGAAAAATCTTACGTCTAAATTATTACAAAACCTTGAAAAACATAAATATCCATACAAATGTTTTAGACCGTGTTGTGTATATACCTTAGTGATGCACTGAACAAGCAGGCTACAAACAATCCTGGCAATCCGGGTAAAAAGGTTAATTTATCCATCACTAAAAACGGCAGCAACTACAATAAATAAAACGTACTGATATACTCCATTTCGTTACATGACAGACCTTGACATGGTAAGGACATATCGTTTATGTACATATAAGAATATTATATGGACAAATTTTAGAGGAGTGAGAAATTAAAGATAATTTTCAAAACATTGTTCGCCGATTTTAAGCACATTCTTTACAAATAAGCACCTACATGTATCTGAAGCGCTATCATTATATCATAATTATGAAAATATAACATTTCCATGTATATTTTTTTTTTCATTTTCAGCTAACATACTAACTCGAATGCACAATCTGTGATATAAGCGCATATGTAATGTTTATTCATCTTCATAGCAGAAGAATAATTATCATAATTATGCTAATCGTATGGACAATTACATTTGTTATTGTTTGTGCACTTTCTTCTGTGTATTAATCCGTATTCATTTTGTCAGTCAGGCATTTGTATTTGCTCATAGTGACTTGAATGTTTATTAGCTTGTAATGATTTTTAAACGGTATAAAAAAACTCAGATGGTTAAATAGTAATAATTGTGCATTCTGTTAAAAGCAGTTTTTCGATGTACAAATTAACCAAGAAGCTCAGCATGCTCGTTTATTTACATTTTGTCATTAATAAAGAACGTTAAGCAAATAACAATCAATAAATAAATTATATTGAAAAGTCTTTCAGAGTTTTTGACCATGATCCTTATGTAATTTTTTGTATCACGATTTTAATTCTGATTACGTAGATTATCATTTTTTCTTGAACCACAGCTGACATCATCACAAACAAAAACAAATCAAAAGCATGACTTAAATTTTGAACTAGAGACTTCATGTTAAGCTTACCTGATCCCTGGCATGTACCATATCCAACAAATAAGGATCGCAGTCGTGGTATGTAGCGTATATAACTAAACCAACGAGACAGACAACGGTTGATAGAATTAGTGTCAGAGGCAAACTTAAATATAGAGCTCTGTAAAAAAAGAAAAAAACTCTTGAGAATAGTTATACTAGGTAACCTTGTTGTATTTGTTATCTGTCACGACTAAACTGTATAAATAAGAAGATGTGGCATGAGTGCCAATGAGACTACTCACTATGAATAAAAAGTTAACAATTATAGGTTCAACACGGAGCCTTGGCTCACATCGAACAGCAAGCTATAAAAGGCCCCAAAATGACTAGTGTAAAACAATTCAAATAGGAAATCTAACAGTCTAATCTATAGAAAAAACGAGAAACGAGAAACGAGAAACACCTATGAACCTCACCAACAAACGACAACCACTGAACAACAGGCTCCTGACGTAGGACAGGTGCATAAAAATGCAGCGGGTTTAAACGTTTTAACAGGCGCCAACCTTCATCCTAACATCAGACAGTAGTGTAACATTACAACATAAAAAGACACACTATAAAATATCAATTGAAATGGCTTAGCTCGATCAAAAAGACATTTTAACAAAAACAAGTAAACATACACTGAACGAATAAGTTTGATCTATAACACAATATAAATACAATTTTCAATTTGAAACGTAAGTGCCTATATAATATAGACGTTACAGATAGTAATAAAAAAGATGTAGAAAGAGTGTCAATAAGACAACTCTTACCTGAGACAAAATGGCGTTAAATAAAACAACGTACACAGGTAAATTAAAATATAATAATTTTGTTGTTAGGAGTACGGAAGTAAACATTTTTTACAAAATTAATAAATTTGTTGTTCCGCAGAGTACGAGTACAGAAGTGAAAATTTATCGTCATACAAAATACTTATCAAAGGTGGTACATATTAAAAATAGCATACCTGTCAACTGACCCTGATCCTGCGGGTGTGACCCGAGATTTTCACATTCTGAGGGGTCACCCGGAACACCCGCCGGATGACCAAATAACCCGGGAATTTGGAAAATAACCCGTTTTCACCCGGATTCATTAGCCTTCAGACTGATATTAGATATAAAGTGATTTCAATGAAATACCGGCAAATTCGTAATTCTTCCTGGACAAGAAGTTCAACTAGCTGTGTAAAATCAGCTCAATTGACCCATTTCAGTGCATGGCTTCACTTGACAGCTTCGGAGTCAAACACACTGTTAATTAACACCAATTACCTTAGCTTTAGGTCGTAAATAATTTGTGTATTTCAAAGTTGTTTTAAAAACAATTTGAGTTACTTCCCTTTTTTGTCAATTCACAATATACTCCTTAAACTTAAGTTTTTTTGTAAAAAGATTAAATCTAAAATGAATTGAATGCACAAACATATCAGAATAATACTTTTACTTATTGTTCTACCTTAGAACAATTAAAAAATAAAAATTTTGAAAATTACTTTTTTCATCTATTATACCTCCTTTAAGGTAGATAGGGGGTCTAAATCAAAATCCATAGAATTTTTTGATAATTTGTCAAAAAGTAGTTTAGGTCATGCTTTTTTCATAAATATAATAAAAAGTATTGGTCACCGGGCTTTTTTTCGAGCTACAGGTTGTGCAAAATTGTCATATTTTGTATAGATTATGCATGGAAACCCCAAATTTTTGTGATAAAAAGAAAACTAAACCATAGAATTTTAAGATGAAATATGAAAAGATAGCTCTAATAATATGCTTTCAGATAAGAAAAAGAAAAAGTGGTGTCACCGAACTCGTTTTCTTGCTACATCATAGAATAGGTAAATTCATAACACATTCTATTATAAAAGTTACTTTGTCTGAGTTATCTCCCCTTATGTGACACAGTTGAAAAAAATTGAATAAAATATTCTATTTTTTTTGTAAAATACAGCCGTAAAATATGATAAAACACATAATTTTCTATATAAACACAAAAATTCTTACACATGAATTACATACTACTCTCGAAATTTGCACATTTCATTAAAGATCTAGACCGATTGTTATCTGCTTTTCAAAATCCAAGATGGAGGAGGACACCCGAGCCACCTTAATTGATTAACTTTATTTTATTATACTCTAATATCAACCTATGATATGTTCTACTGTTTAAAAGCTGCACAAATGTATGTAAAGAAAACACAAATTGGCACATTGTATGTCATTGAATGAATATGAACAGGAATTAAGGCAATATAACACAAATCTATCAATGGCCTCCAGGTGCAATGAAATAATAATATGTACAATTTTAAATTACTTAACCATGTGGACATGTTTTGGAAACTTTGATATAAATTATAAAAAAATGTCCCCTAAATACTGAAATTCAGCTCGAAAAAGTTCGTACGCGTTATGACCTGAGATTTCATTCTTCTATGCAGGTCATCACCTGCATTTTCATTGTCATAGGTTGACAGGTATGAAATAGTGAGACGAGATATAACACAAAATAAGTAAACATTGAATTACAGAAATGCATTACAAATTGTGTCAACAGGTCAAATTAACACGAAAGTACGATTTGAGAGTACTCGCAGATACTGAAAGCTATTTAAAAGCCAAAAACAATTAACAATAAAAAAATCATGCATCAGAGACTAAAATCAATTAAAACACATCCCAGGGATTTAGTGTTTTAACGTCATGGACAGTCAAAGAAGACATGACTTGTGCAATGCCAAAATAAAAGTATCGATAGGCAGTAGGATAGTTAGGATATAACCTTATAATAAATATGTATCATGTAATATATAGATAAAGCAATCTCTAAATAGAAAATTAACGTGGATGTGTATTTATACATCCTAAAAACCATTCGAAATGAATACAAATTTAGTTATGTTTTAATTTGTTGATGACAAAATCGATGTTAGTGCCAATGTAAACAATATTCAAAGATCTTATTACAACATTAATAAGGTAACCTTTACTAATAAGTTTGTTTAAAGGATCGATAAGTTTACACGGATCACATAGCGATTTCCGCGCTTTTAGTACAATATTACCGTAAAATTTAGGATGTGAAATACCGTTTTTAATAAGTTTTCTACAGGTACAGCCAAATTTACTAATCAAATCTTTGTATCTATGAAAGAATTTAGTAAAAGTTTTTAAGTAATTTATGGTAACGAAATCCCTGACTTAATAATTTACCAGTCAGATGCATTGATTACGTTCGTTAAAATCTATGACATCACTACACACACGGGCATAACGAACGAGTTGGGATATATAAACACCGTATGATGGAGCCAAAGGAACATCGCCGTCTAAAAAAGGAAATTAATAGGGAATAAAAAATCGTCTTTTTTGTCATACATTTTAGTATGGAGTTTCCCTTTAGAAATTGAAATGTCTAAATCTAGAAAAGGACAACTACTGCTGTTTATGTTAGATTTATTTAAAGTAAGTTCCTTTGGGTAGATTTCGGTAGTATATTTAGAGAACTCTGGATACTTTAACGAAAAAAATATCATCAAGATAACGGTAGGTATTGTTGAATGTGTCAACCAAATGTAACAATGACGTATCTTTATTGAGTTGGGCCATAAACTGTGATTCATAGCAATACAGGAATAAATCTGCTATTAAAGGGGCGCAATTAGTACCCACAGGAATACCTACTACCTGTCGATACACTTTATCGCCGAAACGTACATATATTTTGTCCAGGAGAAAATTTAAAGTTTCAATCATATCTTTACATTTCCAGTAAGTGTATCTAGCATACTCCCTTTTTCGTTACAGAAAAAGGCTTTAAACGAGTTATACAGCAAATAAATTTGCAATGAGATATTTCAAAAGACCATTTAATTAAATAGGAAAACTTTTTCTTGATAAGATTGTGTGGAAGTGTAGTGTAGAGAGTAGAAAAATCATAACTGTCAACAGAATTAAAAGGACCATCAAAATAAAATTGAGAATGGAAATGGGGAATGTGTCAAAGAGACAACAACCCGACCACAGAACAGACAACAGCAGAAGGCCACCAACAGGTCTTCAATGCAGCGAGAAATTCCCGCACCCGGAGGCGTCCTTCAGCTGGCCCCTAAACAAATATATATACTAGTTCAGTGATAATGAACGCCATACTAAACTCCAAATTGTACACAAGAAACTAAAATTAAAAATAATACAAGACTAACAAAGGCTAGAGGCTCCTGACTTGGGACAGGCGCAAAAATGCGGCGGGGTTAAACATGTTTATGAGATCTCAACCCTCCCCCTATACCTCTAGCCAATGTAGAAAAGTAAACGCATAACAATACGCACATTAAAATTCAGTTCAAGAGAAGTCCGAGTCTGATGTCAGAAGATGTAACCAAAGAAAATAAACAAAATGACAATAATACATAAATAACAACAGACTACTAGCAGTTAACTGACATGCCAGCTCCAAACTTCAATTAAACTGATTGAAAGATTATGTCTTCATCATATGAATATCAGGCACAATCCTTCCCGTTAGGGGTTTAGTATCATACCATCATAACATATATGAGAAGAACATAACCCGTGTCATGCCAACAACTGGTTTTTAAATAAATGTGTTTAGTGCCGATGCAAAGACCCTATAAGTGAATCAATATTAACGCCAAAATATGCAATCTTTAATGACCTGACAACAGTATCGTAACTATATCCCTTCTTAATAAGTCTATTTAAAGGTTTTGTTAGTTTCAGAGGTGAATACTGACATTTTTGTGCTTTATAAAGAATATTTCCATAAAAAAATGGATGTGAAATACCTGAACGTATAAGAAGTCTGCATGTTGAGCTATATTTACGAATGATGTCCTTATACCGATGATAAAATTTAGTAAATGTTTTGACTAGTTTGTGATATCGAAAACCCTGGTGTAATAATTTTTCAGTAATACATAAATTTCTCTCGTTAAAATCTAAAACATTGTTACATACACGAGCGAATCGTACAAGTTGAGATATATAAACACCGTAAGATGGTGACAAGGGAACGTCACCATCTAAAAATGGATAATTAACGATAGGAAATGAAAAATCATCTCTTTTATCATATATTTTAGTATTAAGCTTTCCGTTAATG